GCTAGGACGCTGTCATATATTGGAGAGAAGTTTATTTACTACCGATAAAACTCTCTCTCTTAGCAGTAGCGTCCTGGCGTCTTTAACATCAACATGAACAGGACGCTAGGACGCTGTCATATATTAGAGAGAAGTTTATTTCATAGCCACACAAAAATCTTTCTCTCTTATAAGCAGCGTCCCAGCGCCCTGTTACTGTTGATGTTAAAGGTGCTAGGACGCTGTCCTATATTGGAGAGAAGTTTATTTATCAGCGACAAAGATCTCTCTTTGTTATAAGTAGCATTTTAATGTCCGGTTGAAGTCTAAGACGCTAAGACGGTATGTATAATAAAGAGATTTTTGATATTGTTATTTAAAACCAGAGTCTGATGCAGGTACCTGTTCGACGTTAAGCAGCCTCTGAGAGATCTGTGTGTTTTGGCAGTATGGCAGTTTCAAGGACATCAGTGTTCAGTGACATTTTATTAGGTTTTTAGTTATGTTCTTGAAGATTTTTCAAAGTGGAATAATTATGTGATTAACCCCTGGTCTTTATCTGTCACGATTTTTCTAATAAAGTCTGCGGCAACCTCTTTGAAGTAAACAAATGATGTGGTGAATGTCTGGACTTTATCTGTCACGATCTTCCTGATAAAGTCTGCGGCGATTTCTTTGAAGTTAAAAAGTCAGACGGTAATATTTATGAGAGAATAATGGGTTTATCTTCAAAGAGAAAGGAAAAGAATCTAGTATCGATTATTGATTGGTTGAAATGGAAAATGGAAAATTAATGACTAACCAATAGGATATGAACTACATGAGTTATGATGATAAGCTGATACGCGGCGTATAAAAGCATGATACTTGCAATGATGTTGATCATTCATTCAACGATCACATCCCGCAACGTTTCCTTTTCCATACTATTATCCTAGTGTAATTAGATTCGATATTAAGACTGTTAGATATCTTATTATAAGCTACGTATGTATTTTCTACAGGCATTAATGCTGCTCTAATTTGTCTTTTTATTTTAGATACGTCCTCGTTATCACACTAACGCCTTGTAATACGTTGTGTGCACTCTGAATCTGAGGTAAGTTTAATTTATGATACCATTTAAATCGATCCGTTGTGGAAACCGAGCCATTGTGGCAAATACTTATTTAATCTCTGTTTCTCGCTTGCGACTATTCTGGCTTTCAAGCCATTACTTTATCCTTTAATTGTTCGATTGGGTAAAACTTTATCGAAAAAAGCTTTTTGACAAAATAAAGTAGTTAGTTTAAAGTCTTGTTGTTGAAATTTTTAACTCAATGTAATAATTGCTTTCAATTTCAGTAATTGTAATATGGAACACAGATTAGTTTTAAAACACAGGACTGATACTGACATTACTAATAATGAAATGTGTGGTATATTTCATCAACGTTTAAAGTATTCTCGATTCCGTCGCGTACCAACAAAGACAGGCAAAGCAATTTTCTATCTTTTTTTTCACTAAGAGGAAGATACATACGCTGCTCTTCGAGCGGCTAAAGCGATCAAAGAGATTTCACTTCTCAGATACCGTCCAATGAATCCTATTGAATACGAACTACCATTTCGACCATTTCCACCAAATCATATAATCAATATGTGCCGCTACGCATTTAGGAAATATCTGGACAGATTCGATACTGTGGTACGAACATAAACTTTCTATCATTATTAGACACTGTATCTTCTTGCATAGGAACTTTTCAAAATATTTCTTCGTCGTCTTTGTGAACAAATAATGGCACAATCTATAACAATTCCTAATGGTCTGTTTTTTTTGTATTTTTTACATCTGGATGTGAATTATTTCTATTGATTTTTACTGTAGTAAATGAACGAATTTACAAGTTGTATACAAGGTGGCATATGAACAAACAATTTTTAATGAAAGACAATTATTCTGTACAAAAACTTTTAGATATATTTTTCAGTTAGAATCTTTTTTTTATGTTATTACGTTTTTTAGTATTGTATTAAACTATTGAACATCTTTTTTTGTCTAGTATAAATTCTCATTTGCATTGTTGTTGTCTGTTTCTAGATATTCACGAACACGCATTTAAATTATACATAGAATTGTACTTTCTCAATGTCTGATCCTATTGTAATCAATATTGAACAGGTATCGTCGTCGAAACGCTTTTTTATTATTTAAAACATATCTTTAATTATAGATGAATGAACCAATTTTAATTACGATACCAATGCGAACGATTATCCTCCAACTTCCATTCGGTAGAATAATACAATCATAGTAAGCTGACTTTGAGTCAGATAATGGATCAAACACCAGATGTACTCATTGTGGTTATTCAGAAAATGAGGAAGAAGAACTAAACAGAAATGATATGGAATCAAAGGAACTTGACGTAAACGACATTAAAATAGTGGAAATCAAAGAAGAAGCAATTTTCCAACCTGATATTGACGAACAAAATCAATTTAATGAATATTTGCTTGATCATTATGTAAATTGTTACAAAGCTTCTTTATCTTCCATCTCAGAAACGGATATAAAAGATGAAATTTGTAATTGGAACCATCTTTTTGTCGACAAGCTTCGTGAAAAATATACAGATACAAATGGTACTGCTTCACATATAAAGGAAGAAATACAAGATGAAAGCAAAAAGCAAACAAAGAGAAAGATTGATAACGACATACAAATAGATAATACTGTTAATAAATACAAAAAATGTTTGTAGTTTGTAGAATAAGTGTAATTTACATGTGTCGATTTTTTCAATGTTAATAAATACATGATTCAAAGTCATATTCATCCTCATCTCAAGTGCAAGAGCGAGCTAATAAGAAGAGAATGCGATATATAAGAGCAGAAGACACAACGAACGATCATGATATGACCTGTCTATAGATTTGCATGGATATTGTTAGGTTTACTAATAACTATCTACGACTCCTGCCCCACGTTCGATACGTAAGCGGGAAGATTGTCTATCGGTAACCTTAGTCTGTATAAGATCCACTATCTACCTAGCTAAAATCCTACCTGTAGTTGTATTATTCTCGATAATGGAATAAAGTAATCTTTGTACTCTTAAGTTTGTGCAAGGGGGGGGGGGGTCTTATAATGATGATGATCACTTGGTAAGTTCTGTAATGAAAAAGGTTTTTTTTATCTATTTATCTATTTCTTTTATTTTCAACCGTAAAAAAGGTTGAGTTCAAAAATGTATGTATGTATGTATATATATATATAATATATATATATTAAATGGAAAAAGAAAGAACAAATATGAGGTTAGAAAAAGAATATAAAACTAAACTAACTTAGGAAAATTCTCCTATCTATATATATATATAGAAGAAGAAGAAGCAAAAAGAGAAAACCTCTACTCTGAACAAGAAAAATAATTATACAAAAGTTAGCGACAACATAGTGTCACCAGTTGTCGCTAACAGATATTGATTTATTTTGTTGATAGCTATCATTTATTGTCAAACATTTTAGATATATCTGCTGATCGATCTATAATATCTATTACATATTGATTGATTATGACAAAATATACAACCGCTGAACTTAATCTAGATGTTGGATGTTATTTACTAAAATTTATTGATGGGCTAGACGCAACTAATTTTATCGAAGCAGTCAACGGTAGTCGACAATTCTGGTCGATTGCAAAAACATCAGATCATCATTTTATTGAGATGATCAAAAAATTATGTGGTCACCAAAGAATTCGACTGCCGCGTGCACTATTTGAAGACTTCACAAGTGAGTATGAGATCGATGATGAACAACTCATTACAGTCTCAAAGCACTATTCTGATGTCATCGAGCCATCTGAACGTCTATATATTCATCCATGCTTTGGTACTGAAGGATTTACAAAGTTGTGTGAAGTTTATAAGACTTCTCTTTTCAATTGCTATTCTCGACTCTTACCATTGAACACTGTTTGCTGCTATTACAATGCAGATTTTGGACTTCTTGATTATGAATGGTATGGTCATACAATCGGATCCGAACGTATATTAAATGAACACGAAAATAAATTATTCAAAGGTAAAAAAATAGCGAATGTAAAAAATAATATCTAAAAATTGATGGTTATAATTCATTTTAGTTAATACTTATTTTATTAAGAACCAAGAGCGCAACTGTTGTTTGAATATGACATTTGTATGTACAATGGAAGAGTTCAAACAAAATCTGGCTACACGTTTTTCATCAGATACATGACTAAGAGCAATAGACTTCTCAAAGTGGGCAATTATTGGAGGTTGTGTTCTGAATGCTTTATGTCAATCACCATTTTCAGATACTAAGCAGCAAGATGTCAACTTAGTGTACTATGTGAATGATATATTAGATTTTAAGAGATCAATAGACGATACTGTCAATAATCTTAAGAAAGTGGTTTCTCAAAAGTTACATAATGAAATCAAAATGGAAAGAATACCAGGAACACCTGATTACAACGTATTTCTACCCGGCCATATCCGGCTTAACTTTACTTGGACTAGTATAGGAAATTCAAAAAATCCACTTTCACATATCCTTCACAATTTGGACATGGATATTTGTCAAGTAGGTTTTACCGGTAAATCTATGGATCCTTTAATCTTTTCTTCATTATATATGTATAAGATTTTTAGGAGACCGAATTGTTTCAACGTTTCCATTCTTACAAGCACTTGCAACGAAATCATTTATTGTTTATAATCTTCATGCTCGAAGTCCAAAGTATTTGTGTACACGTATAGCAAAATATTGCAACAGAGGATTCAAGCTTTTACAATCTATTGATTTCGATGGTGATTTTGATTTATTGATGGCACAAGAAGAAATATCATTGTATCGCATTGAGTATCATCAGTATATTGATGATGATGGTGAAATTCAACTTGCTACAAAAGAATATCGCCGAGGATTTCTACACAACATCGATACATTTCGACTTCAAGAGAAATTCATGCATATGGTTTGTCCTCAATTATTGCGATATACATGACATTTGTCAAATATCTATCTGCTCACTGATATTGATTAAAAACTTTGATATCAAGTCGGATTTTTTTATTGTCGATATTTGTCAAAATAGATGTTCGTTTGTAAAGAGTGAAATAGACAAGATAAACATTAATTTTATGTCAATAAATAATCTTTAATATTTATCCTTTTATTCATGTTTTTTTGTGTGGTTGATCATCATCTACATGATGATCAGTTAAATGCAATGTGAAAATCCATGTGTTGATTTTTCTAGTCTAATTTTATGTATAAATATGAACAAATACACTAGTTAACATATGATATGAATAAAAAATTTCTTAAAATTGTCATTTATATACAGAATTTAGACAATAATATGTATATATTGTAGATTTTACTAACATAATTATTTATATTTGCATCCAATTCCATTCATTTAAAATGTCTCAATCATCAAGTAAGTGTCATGATACATTTGTTTTTCAAACTCAGATAATATCATATTTCTCTATATGATAGATTCAACAATAAACACAACCATGAACATTTTCTCAGATGTATTGGCGATTACAGCTGATAATAAAGTAAGAACTAACGATATCATAATAATCTAATATTTTTATTAATTTGACAACAGGGCATTTCAACTGAAACAGAACGTGGAAAGAAAAGAGCTGCTTCTTCATTGCCTGAAGGCCAGGTAAAACAGATTATGACTGACCATCCTGGATGCGGAGGACGATTTCCAAACTCTACTTCAACATCTGTCGATCAATTGAAATTTGTCAGTGCAGCTGAGATGGCTGCTAAGGCTTGTACAAACGTTCAAATGATCCCCGAAATTTCTGATGAAGAACTACTTGAAATGGCTATTAAATTCGAAAAGGAACATCCACAATAATCTTTTTCAATGATTTGATAAAGTACAAACTAATCTATGAACGAACCATCTTTTTTTGCTGTGTGATTGTAGTGTTCTAGTTTTGTTTTTCTATTTGTCTTAGTTGTTTTTGTGTTCGAACCATATCAATATATATTACTACTATTTATCAGTAAGCATTATTATTCATGAAAATAGTTTTAGATTAGTAATACTAGCTAGTAACAGCTAATGAGCTCATCGTCATGCATCAACATTGATCAACCAACATTTTTCAACAAATAAACATCTGTGAGTAAATACGATAGCGTATTCCATAGACTTTTTACAATAATTAGGTTATCATCACATACAACATACAATTTTATCTTATTTATTCACAAAGTCCATTACTAAATCTGTAAGTTTCAATATATTTCTTTGAGAAGATATGAATTATGTTTTAGAGAATTTACTTAATCACTCAATTCATATTTTTATCGGTCAGTATTTATAATCTGGCTATGAAAGGACTCAATAACAAAGGAAATGTTTATGACTAAAAAAACGGATGGTCGATGTCGTATGACTAGGGATCACAGCTATTCTACTGGTAAGCAATGCCTTCTATTGTGAGATCCATCTATTAATTTATTTATAGAAATGAGAACGACAATTGATCAATTATATCCAGATATCTGGCTGCAAGTATTTGAATATTTTAATGCTCTCGAATTATGTTTTAGTCTCATGCACATAACAAAGCAGGCTGATGACGTGTTATTCAATATAAATCATCGCTTTTGTTCACGTGCACTTGTTCTTGATATGCATGTTCGAATTCTTCCAGAAGAACTTTTGCTCAATCACATTATTTCTCTCGAACTGCATCAAAACAGCCATCTTGACAACATTCAACAATATTTAGAACTTCGTTCGTTAAAACTTATCGGTCATTCAGAGTGGATCATTTCTTTCCTTCGAAAAATTTCACAAGTTAACTCAAGACTTGAGCAACTAACTTTAGTGGTACCAGGTATTGGTTTGTTGTACAACTTATTCGCATCTATTGCACCATTATTATCATTACGTCGACTAGAAATTTATGGAGATCAATTGGAAGAAAGAATAAAAAATGGTACTTCATTCTTGACACAAACAAAAATCGAACGATTTATTTTGCATTCATGCTCACCAATGAGCTGGAATGATTTATCATCCATGTTACCTGGTCTGTTCAAGATTCGCTTCCTGGATATTACGCTGCTCCATCTCAGCAAAAATCCATCCTGTTCATTTATTTTTCCAAAGCTTCACTCTGTTTCTCTCATACTGCTTGAAGTCCCATTTGACTGCATCATTCAACTTGCAACAACAATGCCCTCTCTGTTAAAACTTAAATTAAATGGTCTCGTAGATGGTGAAGGATTTGTCATCAATAATAAATGGCTTAGTCTATTAGAATCTTGTTCGTCTCTTATAAAAGTAATTGTAAGTCTTTCATTGGAACAAGGCACAAATTGCTATTACAATAAACTGATCCAAACAGCCTTACATGAGCTCAATCTAAATTTAAGATACATTGATGACGATTGCGAATATGACTTAGACAGAGACAATCAGCTTCGTTGGTGGAACTTGTCGGAAGTAATGGTCAAAAAAGGCGGGCATATGTTTGAAAAATATAAAACGCGATCATAATTGAGTGTCGATGTGCTGCTTCACAGCTTTTAGAAATTAATATACGTCTCGTTTGATGTAAAATGTCAATAAATGTATGTAAAAACTTAATTTTTTTAAATAAAATTTGAATGTGCTGTCTTTTATAAACTTTTTTGAAAAGTAACTTTTTTTAATTATTCATGTTTTTGCGTTTTGTTCTGTTTATAAATAATTTCTTAAATAATTTTGTTTCAGATTAATTTAAAATGAACGACAGTGGTATTAATAGAAACGAGATTGGTGTTACCGCTTCACACATATGTCAACATCAACCATGTATCTGTGAAAGATCTACTCGGACTAATCAATTCCTACAGTTGTTGAATCGCTTGACAGTAGCATCAACAGCAACAGATTATGAGGAACAAGTTTCTGCTACTGTAGCAACAATTTGTGCAGTATGTACACAGTTTAATTTTATGTTCCGTACATAATTTATTTAAAATCATTTTAGGATGAGATATTGGTATCACCGCTACGACTATTATGGCCAAACGAATTCAACGAACCCAAACACACTATAGATACAATAGCTCAACAATACCTGAAACAAGCTAGCAAAAGTGTTCAACATTTAATTCCTCTCAGTAGTCTCGCCGACGGCAGCTGTTTGTTCAATTCGGTTGTCTCGCTTGTACCTGACTCTGGAGTATCTGCTGTTGAATTGAGAGGTCTGTTAATTTACTTTGTACTATAAAAACATATCGACGTTAAATTTATTAACCTTATCTATTTAATTCTAGTACGAACAATAATTGAGTTGGTCAAAAATAGAACTTACTATGATAATCAATTTAGCAACGTAGTTGGTCCTTTTAATGAAGCCATTCGAAGAACATGCAATAATTATAGTTTTTCCGAACTCTATGAAGTTGTGGCACTCGGCAATGCGTTACGGTGCGAGGTACAAAGCGTATATCCATATATCGATTATCGTGTTGAAATGAATATAATGAATGCAGTGTACAAGCCTTTGGATATATCTGCTCTGAATAATGGAAGATTAATTATCTTTTGGACTAACAGTGAAGATGAAGTTACAACAAAACGTCGTTCTGGTAGTGGTGGTGTCTGGAGTCCGAATCACTTCGTGCCGCTCATACGACCTTGTGAGACACCAGAGGTAGATTATTCAATTATATAAACCAAAAAAAGAAAAAATTGAAAATTTGTTTCTGTTTAGAGCCCACGAAGGACAACAATTAAGAACAACAAAGTGGCATCTATCAGAAGTCCCGAATTTTCACCACCACCTAATACAAGAAAGCATAAAACTTCATTTTCATTAATTGAGGAGTCATTATCAAATCTGGAGACTAACGATACTCGACGAAAGCGTCAAGAGAGAAGTATCGAAAATGAACAGCAGCGAGAAGAGCGTCTTGCTGCTGATAGACTGCGCAAACGTAGTGCTAAAAAAAATGAAAGTGAAGATCAACGACAAATACGTCTTGCTGCCAATCGGCTATCGCAACGTAATGCTCGAGAAAATGAAAGTGAAGGTCAACGACAAATACGCCTTGCCGCCAATCGGCTATCGCAACGTAATGCTACAGAAAACGAAAGCGAAGATCAACAACAGGTACGTCTTGCCGCCAATCGACTATCGCAACGTAATGCTCGAGAGAATGAAAGTGAAAATCAGCGAAGGCTACGTCTCTCTGACCAACAGAAACGATCTGCTAGAAAAAAATTATGAAGAAGTGCACAAAGAAGTAGGCTTCTAACGAGTAGACAACGTCAGTCAGATACAATAAGATCAATGGATCGACAGGGATCTAGAAGAAAATCAACTGATGCTATTAATCTGCAACGTCAACAGCAATTATTAGAAAAGGAACAGCAAGTTTTGCTCGACCAATATGTCTGGCCAACGGCAATTCCAACACAATTAAAAAACCACTGTTTGCAAGACTTTTCTAATCATATGTCCATGTCAGTGTTACGACAATCTACATGTATCGTTTGTAATATTCGAACATTTGCTAACACAATGAAAGTACATGCTCTACAAGATATTCTGAACGTGGACAAATTATCTTCTCCTACAGATCTCACGAACATTATTTCTAAAGCTCAGCAAGTAGCGCAAGGTTAGTCTATTGATCGACTGATTACATTACTATATATTACTCTATTTTAGAAGAGATAGATGAACATTCAAATACTTTCTCTTTATCGAATGCGGTCTTCTACAAGAAAGGATACAACATAGCTCAGAAAACTGGTAATATCTGTCAACAATGCTACAGCGCACTATCGAAAGATAAGATTCCAATGTTCTCTGTAGCGAACAAGATGTGGATTGGCGATGTACCGCTTGAACTTCAACAATTGACAATTGCTGAAGAAAAACTGTAAGTCATTAAGTACCATTAAAAAATTAAGCGTAGTATTATGTAAATCTTTTTTTAAAGTATCTCTCTTTATCGACACAACAGCTGTGTTATCAAGTTACAATCACCCTTTCATCATCATTCTACTGCTCAAACTGCACTCAAGGGTAATGTAATCACATTCATGCACAACATGCCAAATATTGTGACAAGTCTACCATTGGATGTTCAAGATCTTTCTGACACACTCAAAATTGTTTTTATCGGTGCCCACTCACCAGATCGCGTTCAACTGCGTAGGATTTGTGGTGTTAGGCGTCAAAAGATTCGCAACGCTCTAATTTGGCTAAAAAAACACAACTACATGTATCGAATGATTCCTAGTAAGTTTTTGAGTAATGCTTTTTGAAAATATCGTGTACTCGATCATTTTAGTAAACGAAGTCAATATTGCAAAATTACCTGACGATGACGTTCCAGAAAGTATTTGGACAACACTGGAAAGGATAGAAAATGCTAATGATGGGAATGCAGAACGAGCTGGATTTACTGTTGATCCATTAACACACGCCACAGACCAAGGTGAATCTAACGTAACAGATATTTGTCCGATGAGTACTAGGTAAGTTCATGTAATAAGATAATATAATTAATAATATCAATTAATTAGTGCCGTACTGGATGTCAATGGAAC